TCTGTCTCCACCATGTGACGCACTGCTGCATGAAGAGGTTTCGAAAGGAGAGCTTGGGCCCCAAAGACTTGGTAGTGTTGACCACATTCATTTCGGCTGTAGCTGGACGGTGGTTGATGTTCTACGTCAGGTTTTCCATCTTCACTGGGTTTGCCCGCCTTCCCTGCTTCCAACAGGTAAACTCCTTTGAGGGCGGGGGGTAACTCATCACTTGTGGCAAGTTTAGTCTATGACTGCCCAACAGCTTTTTCAAGCTTGTCTTTGGTGATGATCTCCTCTAGCTTCTTCAGCGAGTCAATCAGAGCCAGTCCTGTCGGTAGCTGGGCAAGCCGGGGTAGACATTGCTCAACTGTGTATCCTGTCGATGCTTGCACTGACTTGGAGAACACCAGCGCTTGCCCTGCCACAAAAGCCGATTCTCGAATGAGAACATTGCTCGTGATTCCTAGTCCTCCTTCACGCATGAGTAGGTGCACCTGCGCCCGAGCTGTCCCTTTGAAGAAATCTACCTCCTCGCTCTTCGTCGGGTCTGCGCGTACTTCTTTGACTGTTGGTATTCTCATGCTGTCTGTGTGTTCGAGCGTAGAGCATGCGAACACAGGTACAGTCCCGTGTGCCGTCGGTCTTCCGGGGCGTCGGTGATTGGCTAGACTGTAAATACATATCCATATTGTAGCCCATACGTTTGTAGTGCCATTTTTTTGGCTCGTGAAGACTGCTGCTGCTGGTGAAGACTGCTGGAGGAGTTGGCTTCACGCGCTCTGTCTCTCTTGCTCCGAAAGCTGACAGCCCTGTAAATAATCAGCCCCGCAAACTGCTGCGTTCGTTACCGTTGACCCATTAAGAAGTTAAGAAGGGCGAGAGAGGGAGAGAGGTAGAGAGCTGATTACGGGAGGGCACTGCTAGTGGGAAGGAAGTGCGGTGGCTGCTTCTTCGAAACCCCTACAGCAGTGCCAGAGTCCTGTGCGTGCTCGTGGACGTGATGATGAGCAAGTGAGCACGAAGACTGGTAAAGGCAGCACTACAGCATAGAATAAGCCTTACCTGCTGCAAGCCAACAACGTCAACAAGAGAGACGAGGACACCAGGAGCCCGGAGCAGGAGACAAGGTCCCAATGAAACTAGGACGCCTTCACAGCAGTAGTAGTGGAAAGGACAGCGGTACAGGCGTCCACCATGCCGGCGCAAAACGACCACGCACGGGGGCATCGATCGCTCCGCTTTCAACAACAATGCCCCCACCCCAGCCTAAACCACATCATGACCAACACCATCACCATCACAGGCCGTCCAAAGCATCGTGCTCGGAAGCAGTAGGGGAGAGGCTGACAGATTCCCGGGTAGTAGCTGAGGTTTCAAGCGCACGGCACCACGCCCTCAGGGCAATCTCCGTGACACTATCCCGCCCCAGCTGTCGCTGCTCCCGACCTTCCGGTGTCGAGAGCGTTGACAACATCAACAGCGGTTGCAACTGTTGCTTGGCAAGGAGGCCGAGTGATGGTTCGGTTGCCCGACAATGGCAGCAGCAAGCGCAATCCAAAACCTTCACGCTGGAGCAGCGAGATTCCCGCGACACCATCATCTTAGTCACAGATGACGAGACCAGCAACACAAGCCACCTAGTCGGGACGGGGGCCGCAAGAACCATCACCGTATCCCAGGTGCTCGACCTACGGCACGGGGCGACATCAACAGCCACACGGCAGGGTGGTGACGGCGGTAACCGGTCTAGACGAGATAGACGAGATGAACGGACGTCGACGTCACGAGATACGGGAGTCCAGGCTACTAGAGTGGACGGGGATGATGAGGGGAAAGCGGCAGCGGTGGAGGTGGTGGTCGGGGTGCTATCGTTTGAGTCGCTGCGAGAGGGGGACGTGGCGGTGTCTTCGCTGTTTCTCAAGGACGAAACCGGTGAGCACACTCGATCACAACAGCACAAGGACAACGAACGTCTTCAGGATCTTTACTGCTGTCTACACGTGCTTCCACCCCTAGTTTGTTGACCCCGGTCATGAAGACACGAGTAGACAGGGAACACAACGTGTACCTCCATGAAGCGACATACAAATACCGGTGGCGTCAACCTCGCCTTGGTGAAAAGGACAGTAGTCTTGGTGGAAAGGGGACGAGGTCTTCATTCGTTTTCATAACACGAAGGCCTGCCAACGGCGTTGGACGTGAGCCCACTTCACGGCACGCTCATGTACTGACGGTGTGGATGCGCTTGTTTTTTCCCAGGGAGAGTGCGGCTGGTTTGCGTGCCACCGCCACCGCCGAGCTGGTTGGGTCAGGTAGTCTGCCTGACACGGTGGACGCTGACCAAGGACAAGACGCCCACCGCTGGTAAGAGTAAGAGTCAGGTAGAGTGCTGCTGTCGGTGTCGGTGTCGGTGTCGTAGTCGTACATAGTCGGCAGGGGTGCCAGATAGTGGTTCGTGGCTGATAGCTGATACGTGAGCGACGTACAAGGAAGACATGCTTGTTGCGATGTTCGGAGAGAGGGTGTAAGATTCCAGGCGATGACCAATTGGCACGTGTCCGGTGTGATTCTCGTGATAAACCAGCTCTATGCTCAAGAGGTCTCGACCAGCAGTGACACGTGTATGAGGGGTGCTGGGTTATTTTGCGAGGGGCGCTGGGGTCTCTCACTGTGATGCCCCTTTGGTTATTATATGGTGCGTTTGTTGGGTGCTAGGATTGATTGAGGGACTGCACCTGCCGTAGCTTCTGCAGTGGTTGACGAAAACTCGTGTGTTTTTGCGTGGTGGAAAGGGTTGTGTGGATTGCAGCAGATTTGTCTCCTCAAAGGAAATCACGCTCACAGGCGACGGGCAGGAGCTCATTACCGTATTTTCTGCGTACGTGTATCAATTCCCGTGTTGTACGGGGTAGATACCAATATGATGTGAAGCCCTGTCTTCCAGTTGTATGGCGTCATTGCGACGACGGCGTGTAGATGCGAAACATCAAGGGTCAATGTGGTAGTCGGGCAGCTCTCGACGACACATTCGCAGATACATCCCTCATCCCCTTGCGCATTTTTTCTGCTGTGGAGATGTCGATCCGGATTCAATGCATCGAAGGACGTTGGCTCGATTTTCCACCGTGCCGAATGTTTATCCGAGCACCCCCCCCCCCCCCCCCCCCCCCCCCCCCCCCCCCCCCCCCCCCCCCCCCCCCCCCCCCNCCCCCCCCCCCCGTCCCCCCCGCGCACACTTGGGGCTTAGCAGCACGATGCGAGAGAGACGGGTCTCATAGCGTTGGGCGAGGGACTCGTCCCTCTTCTTCTTCGCGTGTTTCACTCCCGTCTTTCACTGCCTGCCTGGAGGTTACCGAGATGTGCCATCTCGCTCATGAAGACGAGCACAATGCCAACAGGTACAACAACAACACTTTCAAAGGCAACGGCATCACGAACGACGACGACAGGACAGTCAGAGCGGACGGCTTTGAGGGGTGCGTCAGCAGAAGCTGCAGCAGCGACAAAGTCAATGGCGTTCGTCGCAATGTCGCTGGGGATGGTATGCGTAGAAGCAGTGACAAAGGCAAGCCAGCAGAAGGGGAAAGGCAAGGGCCAGCATTTGGAGGGGGCGGAGGCGGGCAGGAGAGCAACCTTGGGTGGTCCTGCGTACCACGTGCATCAGCGCAGAGGCCAACGCTGTCACAAGTTTGGGCTCAGGGCGCGCTAGGGCTTGACGCCTTCGTTGTCCGCAAGGGAAGGTTAGTCTGCGTCGCTCCTGCCACTCACGAATAAGTGAAGTTACGGGAACAGTGCAACCCATCACTTGATTTGGTGTTGTTTGTTCTGTATGAAAGAAGCAAGTGCATCTCCATACAACAGAAGGGGCACGTAGGCACTGGGTGCTTACCCAAGTCGCTTGATCACTAACATGACAATGTTCTGCTTGGTATCAAGCGTCGCCAGGGTCTGAAAGGCCGTTTCTATTCCGTACAGTTTGCGTGGTGTGTGTTGTGTATGGAGATGTCGTTCGATGTTCCACTGAGTTTGATTGTGCGTTGTGTTCGATCAGAACGCGATTGAATAATATTTCGATCACTTCGTGTTGGAAATATTCTCTGTGGCAGCTTGTGATGCTCTGTCATTAGCGGTATGTGTCGCTCATTCGATGCTGTCTTCTAGGTTTTCTCACCTGCTAACCTTGCTTGCTGTGCTTGCTGCCCTTGCGTTCACTGTGGCTGACAACCCCCTCTTCCTTGTTTTGGTAGCCCTTACGTTTTTCCCTCCGGGGTGTTGGATTTGTAAATGAATTATCCTCTCCTGTCGATGCTTGTCTAATTCATTTATACCGTTCACCGTCCAAAGCATTCCATACACATCAACCTAACGTTGCAAGAATATGCTGTTCCTGCATATGCTTGACCAACTTTTGTCTTCGACTTTGCGCAGGGGTCCATTTGATGTTGTGGCCAGGGTCGCGGCTGTAAGCCCCGTGATCCGCTTCAAAAATGCCTCTCCCTTCTTCATGGTGGAAGTCGAACAAGCGGAACCACACCAAACCCGGCAGTCGGAACAGTGGGAGCAGGAGCAGCAGCAGCAGCGACAGCAACAGCGGCATCCAGAGGGCCCCCGTCCCCCCGTCCTCCCTCCTTCCTCTCCTCCAGAGGCGCAGAGAACATCGCGAGTTTGCCGAAGTCCCGAAGAAATTTCCGCTCTTTTTCCGTTCCCCACTTCCGGTGACCATGCCGGTGCACCAATAGCGGCTTCCGGTGCCGGCGATCAGGGTGAGCAAAGAAGCACCCCACAGGCTCCCGTGGCCGAACAGTGGCCCGCCCCCGCCGCCGCCCATTCCGCACGGAATTCGGGAGCGGAGAGTGGTGATGGTGTTGGCGTTGATGGGGGTGAGGGCAGGGAAGGAAGTGGCTACGGTGGTGCTACCGGCGGCGGTGGTGGCAAGTATAGGGGCGGGTGCCGGCAGCAGCAGAATCATACGACACTTCCGCCAAGCGAAAGACAAGAGCAGCAGCGTACAGAGCTTACCGCGATGCTGGTGCTGACCGGGCAGCGCTGTCTGTCCTGGCAGGCGTTTCTCGTGCCGGGGAAGACGTTCGTTTTTCCCCAGGTGGGAGTGTTTGTGCTTGGTGGGAGCCGCCGTAGCAAAGGCGGCGGCAGCGCCGGTAAGCCTGGCAATACCTACAGAGCTTTCGGAGATGGTGCGCGATCTGACGGGCGGGGCGGGGCTGGAGGGATATCAAAGGCTACGCGGGTGAGGCTGGTTTGGCGAACAGAGCTTTCGGCAGTTTTAGGCGCCGTGCGCCAACGACTTTTTGGGCGACTGGTATCGTTAGCGTTGTCTCTAGACGAGTGAGGTTGATTTGCTGAATGAGACGCGAGGTGGGTTTGATTGCTTCGAGCGGATGTGCACAGGTTGCAGTCGGAAGGTTACTCGCTTAGAGCGATTGGTGTTATTCGGAGGAGGGCGAGAGACGATGGGAGATGTATTACCAGAGGAGGTGTGACGTGTTTGGTATACAATACGTCCACCGAGCATGATGGTACGGTAGATGCCTCGAACCGGTGGATGAGCCGTTCGCCTAGAACAGCACCACACAAGCAAGACGGTTCATTTTAAGAGCGTGCGGCCATAGCTGCTGGCGAGCCTTTTGACCTACCTGGATTGTTTCGAGATGTTGACTGCGTGCAGATACGCAGTTTGGTGAACCTCAAGTTGATGTAGGTTAAAAAGTAAGTCGTTGGTAGTGGTTGACGCTAGCGCCAAGGTTTAATGGGGAGATGGAAGGGGAAGGGACGGGAGCGAAGGAAAGGGAGAGAGGGGCGTGCTTTTCGGCTCCTGGACACTCAACAAGCTATTTAACCTAGATATCCCAAGCGATGAACTTAGCTGTTAGGATCCTCATGGATATTTGTTGACGTAGGCCGTAGACTGCGAATACGTTGCGCACATCCGACTGTGTGCCACGATTGTGATGGCAAAGCTTTGCAAGTATCAATATACAGCTTCGTCGGTTGCTCTCACCATGTTGCAACTGGTCTGTGAGGCCTGGCTCCTCCTGTGGTTCATACTTCGATTAATTCCTGGCACTCGCATCCCATGTGTTTGAGCATTTTTTCGTCCCGCCCATCAGTCGAAGATGTTCCTGTTAATTTATTTTCCCAATTTTCACTTTCGCTTGCCTCAGCCCTGTGCTGTGCGTTATGATATCATGCACGAGCTCCTAGCTTGAAACGTTGCAGTGCTCTACGGCACATCCCGCTGTTGTTCTGTCTTAATAGTCTCTTATCTGTGTGTCTTTGGTTTATTCGCGTTCGTGCCTCGTGCTCGTGCGGCAGCTCCTCGTCGAGGTGGACGCGCGCGTTTCGGGACCCGGTGGCAACAGCGATGTTCATGATGGTCATGGTGGTGACGATGCCCTGGCGCTCGGACATTCCCATTCCCGTACCCAATCTACCACCTCGAGCGCGCCTCCGCCTTCCGGAGCGGACGAATTGTCGGCGAGGATTACGCGAACGATGGAGTCGATACCGGGACCAAGGGACCAACATGCCGAGAAACGAGCAGGGAGCGCCAAAAGGAGGCGGGTCACGGGCGGCAGTAGTGGCACCGGCGCCGACGCAATCGGCCGCAGCATCAGCGGCTGTGACAGCACGGATAGCAGCAGCAGCGGTGGCGACGAGAGAAAATGGGGTGACGTCGGTGTTGGTGGTGGTGGTAACGGGGGAGGCGTTGTTGACGATGGTGACGGTGACGGTGACAATGACGGCAGCTGTGGCGGGGACGGGGCCTGTGGGGGTGTTCATGTGTTGACCTACAACGGGACGATCACAGGGCTCGGCAGTCAGGTAGGGGGACACGAGAGGAGACCACGTGGTCTCTTTCCCCAATTTGAGGGAGGCGCATGTATGCATGCATGCGGGACTCAAGTGATACATGCGCTAGCAATGTGTTTCTCTTCGTGAAAGAGTTGCCATATTTTGTGTCTCTAGGCGGACAAAAGAAAACGATGTCGGGATATTTTGACAGTAGTGTGCAGAAGCCACCGTACGCGGGGAGAGCGGCCTTCGGGAGGGTAAACCTAGGTGGCTCAAACTGTCACATTTGTTCTTACGAGCCTGCTCAGGACGTTTTCCGGTTGGTGGTACGTCTTTGTCCAGACTGGGACGTACGTCCTCGATGGTGGCAACGGTAGAGACGGAAACAGGCCAGGAATCAACCTGTACCTGCAACATCTGTGCTGCTCTTCCCTGGGCGCGGGTCTGAGGTAAGAAAGATCAAGATATGTTACCTAAGTAGTTGTTTTGTCTTGAGATCTGTTGAGATAGGTGGAGTGCTCGTATGTATGTTCGCCTCGTCTATCCCGGCGCCAGTCTACACACCTCGCGGTGTATGAATTTGGCGCGTCAGCATGGGTCACAAAAGAGGAAGGTCACACGGGATCTGTTCTTGTCGTGTAGTTTGAAAACTCGACCTTTCCTCTTGCGGCGCTTGCCGTAGTAGCTTCCGCGGGAAGGGTTCAGTTATCCCTTTTCCTCGACTACCGTGAAGTGCATGGACATGAGGAAACCTACGGAAGGGACGCCCCCCCCGGTTATCCGCCTCAGCTACAGCTACGGCTCAGCTCTACAGGACATGGGGCCCCGAAGCTCTTCCAAGTTCTCGGCAGATGTTTCAATGGTTGGTTACTCTGGGTCTACACCCAATTGCGTTATCCTCGCTTGGCTTGGAAAACTTGACGTCAGACCGAGCACTGTTATCCTTCGGGGCTGGACGCTGATTGGGTCTGCCTTATTCCACCGTGGCGTTTCGCCTCTCGTGTAAACCCTTCTCCATATAATCACTTGGGCGTTTCGTCTCTGTGGCCTATCAGGCGGGGCGCCAACGTCAGAGTGCATAATGTGCACCCAGTGTATGCTGGGGCCACATTGATTGCTCTGGGGGCTTGCCTTCGGACGACCGTGCAGGTGTGACCCGATCTTCGGCGCAATTTTCGATCTGAGCGAAGGACTTGATCATCGATCCGGCTTATCTCTGTCTAGAATGTTTGGCTGACTGGTTCGATACACCTAACCTCACCTGGTATTTCGATAACGTTCGACCTTGTGGGCAAACGAGGGCACCTCACCGCCATTCTTGCTTCGGTGCAAACGAAACGGCATGTTTGATGCGTGCAGCTCATGAGATGGGTTGAGCCTTAAGACTCGAGTCAGTGAAACTACAGAAATCTTGTTCTTGATGAGAGACTCGGGGGTAGACGGACGATTAAAGATGGTACGAACGTACTTGCGGAGAACTCCCGAAGCCGTGTCTCAAACCGCTGAAGTTCGGGCCTGGACTGATTTGATTGATTTGTTGATTTTTTTCAGGTTGAAAGTCAGTTGCTGACCCTAGTCCACCTCTCCCCCTCCATCACATCAGGTGTTGCGGTTCTCCCCCCTGGGTGAAAACGCCTCCTATCGCCCGCTCACAGGAGGACCTACCCCTCTCCCGCTCGCGGTACACGCTTGGCGGCAATCGTTCAACGCAGTGTTTTTGCGGAAAGAACTCTGGGCGCCAATGCCGCGGCAGCAGCAGCAGAAAAAACTACGAAATCACAACCAGCACCAAGCGCGATACCAACATCAGCACTTTCAACAGCCGCCCGATGGGAGCAGGATTGGGGCCACCGTTTCCACAACCCCTCTCGGTTGGTCGGTTTCGACTGCCTCAGGTACCGGCGATGATCACCGTCGACGAACACCGTGTTCCTCCAGTTCCTCCTCCTCCGCGTCTCCTCGAGGTCCAACCGCAGCGGCAGCGGGCAACGCCGGCGGTGGTAGGGCTACCGGAACTGGTCTGCCAAGGCATCCTCCGTCTCCCTCTCCTTCCTCTCTCCAGCCTTCGGGTTTCGTCACCGCTGGGCAATTGTCTAGGTCGCGACCAAGTCCAGGAATGGCTGGCGGCGGCGAGTGGGGGAGTGATGGTGAGACGAAGGGCGGAACAGACACAGCGGCAGCGGGGGCAGATTTCCTGACAGGGGGGTTGGCGATGGCGGCGATGGCGGCGACGTGGGAAGAGAGGGTGTGTCGGTGGGTGTTCGGACCAGATGTGAGGGCGATGAGACTGCCTAAGAGGTAAGAGACATGGGTACACGAATGAGTGGTGGTCTCGTGGAAAGAAAGAGCAAGGAAGAGATTCATATTTGCCAATGCAAAGAGGGAAGAGTGAAAGGGAGGAGGGGGGGCAGCCGAAAGCCAAGGTCGGGAGGAAATAGCGAAACAGCCAGCCAATAGGGTTTCAGGCTTACATGTTCGACACGGAAAATGATGACGGAGGTGAAGCTGAGGAGAAGCACGTTTGTCAAGGTCGGGTCGGGTACTTGTAGAAGTGAGGCTTAGGAGCGAGCCGAGAGTACCCGCAGATGGCCGTTAATCCACCAGGCTTACACTGTCACTCCAAGGAAGGTCAACACCTCAGCGTTATGTGCTACATTGTCTCTGCCATCTACACGATCCCCTCGCATACTGATGACACTGTGTAGCTGCCCGCAGAGTAGACCGCTCACATCATACCCACCCTTATATACGATTCTCCTGTGTGAAATCGCCGCTTCCATGTGTGAAATGTGATGTGACCCGTGTTGTGTGGGACGATCGTGTGGTGCGTGCATGACCTCACTGCTGTCAGCACGAATGTCTAAACATGACGTGGTGTGTCGATGCCCCCCGCGCTCCATTTGCCATTCGCCAATTCTCTGACTTGCTGTCGTTTTTTCGCGAACGAAACAGGGACGTTTACGCGGAGTTTTTGGATCACCCGCCTGGCGTTTGCGGCATCGTTGATCCGGTAGATCTCGCAGGTCTCGTAGGCCCGGCACACGAGAGCAGTGGCTGCGACTCGCGCGGAAGGAAGATGCCAACCAAACGTGACAAGGAAGAAAAGAGCGCAAAGACACCCAAGAGGGGGTTTTACCGAGAAGGGAGCTGCGAGGTGGGATACGGCGGCTTCACGTCGGCGGAAGACGGGAGTGATGGAGAGGCACATATCCTTTCAGATGTGAGCTCTGTTCGCTGGTGACATCTCCACGCTTGTGTGTATGCCACTCACCGTTGGGCTTGCGCCTGACCCCCCCAAATGGTGTATGTTGTTGTTGTTGTTGTCTTCACATTAAAAACCATCCCGGTCTCTCTATCCAGTACCTCCTTCTGTCTCAATCTCTCCGTACTAATCCATCACTTGACTCGGCCAATTTCCGTGGTCACAGGCTAACGTACCTAGAAAAGGTATACCAAAATAAAATGGACCCCAAGGGTCAGCAGAGCGATAAAATACAAGAAAACAAAATATAATCAGAAACAAATAAAATAAAATTGAATAAATAATTAGACTAGTGGAACGGCCGCACCACCAGCCTGGGGGGGTAGCCTCCCACTACATGGAGGCAGGTCGACGGCCAAAGGAAGGGGCGGGGGTACGTGCCAGTAAAAAACAAAACAAAAGACAAAATAAAACAGAATAAAGCAAAGACGAGGACACAAACAAACTCGCACAGAGACAGGGATATCCCTAGAGACAGTCTGAACGCGACAGCAAACGGGGGAGAGGGCAACAGAAAAATTAGTCGTTGAAATTCGACCGCAACATGTCACGTCACGCGGTCGGTCTCTATGAGCGTGGGCCGATTATTCGTTTTTTGTGTTGTGTTTTTCCGAAAGAAATGTTGGTCCGCACTACCTGCCGACGACGCGAGATCGCGTTTTAACTTGATATTAGAGCATGACCTGGTATCGTGGAATACTCGCCCCCACAATCAAACTGGCTCTTGATATTGGACAGAGACCTGTGAAGAGACCAATTGCGTGTTATTGTCGGTCAGTTTTTGGAATGGACACCAGGAAGCCAGTCTAGACTCTAAAAACCAGTGATTTTCGGTGCTTTTCAGAGGTTTCAGCAGCGGCCTCGTTCGTGTGTGGTGATTGCGCGAAACGTCATCGATATAGACATCGCTCTGGTTTCTGCGAAGGCCACAAAACAAACCGCGCCACAATCCACCACTCCGAGGCCGCACAGCACCTCTTCCAAGATCGGGTCTCGATGGTCAAAGCACCGCTGTTGAATTTTTGGGGTGGCGAGTTTTTCGCGCATCATACATCAACTTTTGTCCTACGCGCACAGCCTCTACCGCGACCGCTAGAGCAGCTTTTGCCACCGTTCCAGCGCCAAAAGTAGCTGTGGATACTCCACTCGCGACGCAGTGCCCCTTGAACCTCGGCAAGGTTGGGGAAGGGGGGGATAGAATGCGATTTCTTTTTGATGTCAGCTTGAAAAGATGCAAACGCGCCGCCGGTTGAATTTTTCCGGTGTGGAGTTTTTCGCGCATAATACATCAACTTTTGTGCCACGCGCACAGCCTCTACCGCTGCCGCTAGAGCAGCTTATGCTACCGTTCCAGCGCCAAACGTAGCTATGGACACCCCACTCACGACTCCATGCTACTTGAACGTCGCCAAAGTTGGGGAAGGGTGGGGTTGGATGCGATTCCTTTTCGATGTCAACTTGAAAAAACACACACGCACGCACGCGCACGCACCGCGGTTGAATTTTGGGATGGAGAGTCTGTCGCGCATCATATATCAACTTTTGTCCTACGCGCACAGCCTCTACCGCGACCGCTTGAGCAGCTTTTGCCACCGTTCCAGCGCCAAAAGTAGCTGTGGACACCACTCGCGACGCAGTGTGACTTGAACCTCGCCAAAGTTGGGGAAGGGTGGGGTTGGATGCGAGTCCTTTTCGATGTCAACTTGAAAAAACACACACGCACGCACGCGCACGCACCGCGGTTGAATTTTGGGATGGAGAGTCTGTCGCGCATCATATATCAACTTTTGTCCTACGCGCACAGCCTCTACCGCGACCGCTTGAGCAGCTTTTGCCACCGTTCCAGCGCCAAAAGTAGCTGTGGACACCACTCGCGACGCAGTGTGACTTGAACCTCGCCAAAGTTGGGGAAGGGTGGGGTTGGATGCAAGTCCTTTCTGATGTCAACATGAAAAAAATCGATTTCTTCCAAGATTCCTTCGAAACAAAAAAATTCAGGGCTCCGCGTCATCGCCGCTCTCCTCCTCCGACGTACAGCTCAGATTCTCTGACGCCTCAGACTCAGACTCGTGAGACGACGAGGTGGTTGTCCTCCCACTCGTGCCAGGAACCTTTGCCAAGAGGGCCCATGAAAAACTCGCACTCCATCCCGGCGTTGACAGCGAGATGGAGCACGTGGAGCAGGCACCCGATGCGGTGAGCGAAAATTGGACCTTCTTCGCTGAGGACTTCGGGTGGTCCATGAGGAGGAGGAGGGGGTGCAGCAGCCGTGGGTTGGGCCTGACCCTCACCGGCGTCGTCGGCCATTTCCGTGGCGACGGTCCGCGGGGGGGTGGTCCTCGTCCAGTTGGGCAGAGCATNCGATGCGGTGAGCGAAAATTGGACCTTCTTCGCTGAGGACTTCGGGTGGTCCATGAGGAGGAGGAGGGGGTGCAGCAGCCGTGGGTTGGGCCTGACCCTCACCGGCGTCGTCGGCCATTTCCGTGGCGACGGTCCGCGGGGGGGTGGTCCTCGTCCAGTTGGGCAGAGCATCGCACCATACACTTTAAATGCGGCTGCTGTGGTGTGTGCTCTCTACTCGAAACCACACCCACACCCCCCAAAAAAAACAAAAAACAAACACGCTCGAACACAGATGGTTGTGGCCTGTTCGCCTGAAAGTTGACTCGATTGTCAAAATTGGTAGGTTCATTGGTCGAAAAATAACCAGGAAGGAATTAAAGTCTGTTCAAATGTAGGTCCGTGTGACAGAAAATCGGCCCAAAAAGTGGATCAGGTGCAAGCCTAACTGTTGCTGGTACACATGGTTTGTGTTGTGGCTCCCAATGTTTGTCAGGTGTGGGACGCTTTCTTTTCCTCCAAATTTGTCGTGGTTCACGTCCACATTGCCATCTGCTACGTGAAGACTGCACAGAAAACGAAAGGCATTATCACTGGAATGTGCACTGCTACAATGTGGACTGCCTCTACTCTTCTAGGCACGAAAATTGTTGAACCACTGTCATGGTGGCTTGGTTCTGACACTCCCCGCGCGCCCAATACCCGTTACCGCGCCCCTCCTAGGACAAAATGTTGATTCAACGCGCCGACGAAGGCTGGCATGGCGACTCGTATGGAGACGAAATTTGCAGCGGTGGCGCGAATGGGCACTGCTCTCGCCCGAGCTGCTGTTGCTCCTGCTGGTCCTGTCGACCTTCTCCCGAAGATGTCCTGCGCGCCGCCGCGAGATCTCTTTCAGAATCCCTTGAGGTAAGCTAGGAGTTGGGAACAAGGTGGACAACGGCACGTAGTGTCAAGCGCAGTTGATGCCATCATGGACGAGGCATGCCTACAATGGCGGCATTCTGGCGCTATTGTGAACGAAAGCACCATGTCAACCTACAGTATGTGGAACAACAGCAGTTGGTTCTACAAAGGCCATGCCAAGCAACAAGGCCCTAGTCGCCGAGGAAGTACAAGAAGAGGGCATAGGCCGCCACCAGGTGGTGTGCTTGTACAGCGCATCTTCACCCCGCATTCGCCAAAAACCCACCGCTGCTGATTAGCAAGGGGTGGCCTTCACTTTGGCTAGCGTTCGATGCCGTGAAGAGGTAAAGCCATTAGTTGGTTGATCCGCCGTCTCCCTTCGTTGTCGGGAGAATGCATGTGAAAACGGCACGCGCGTTTTGTTTCTCCGACAGAAGTTGGTGACAAGCCAACCGTTTCGACCCTTTCTTCAGGTGGCAGTTGAACACGCTGCCGACATTGTACCATCAATCATGTCGCGGTCGATTCTGTGCGGCGGCGGTGGCGGTGGCGGTGGCGAGAGCTACGCCGGTTCAACAGGAGGAAAGACTGCCGTGGCACGAACATCAGCAGCAGGAGCGATGAAGAACGCCACCTTCACGGTGAGAACCCCCTTCGGCTCGAGAGCAGGCCGAGCAGAAGGTCTGTTGGCCTGGCTGCATATTCCGCGCAGCGGTAAGAGAGAACAAGCAAAAGGAGAAGCAGCACCAGCAGCAGCAGCAGGAGCGGCAGCAGCAGCAGCAGAAGTCGAAGTTTCAACGATGGAGTCACCTCTCGCTGAGCGACCTGATACTGTTGCCGCAGCGGTGGAGAGCCGGAAGCAACCGAACGGTGAGAAAATCATCCACGGAGCCCCTTCGCTGAGGCTAAGTTCTAAGGATAACTCCTCTGCGTCTCCGAGGGCTCGGTGTGGAAGCGACGCAGCAACCAACAGTTCGCTGGCATCAACCCAAGCGTGCCTGTGGCTTGAAGACCGAACGGCGTGGGCCAGAGTCATGCTATTGGCTGCGCCGCGACCCTCCGGGCCGAGCGGGGCGACGGGTGCTGCGGGTTGCGCATATGCGAGTGCACGTGTGGTCGATGTTGCGGCCGGGCCGGAGTTGGCGGAGGTGGTATCTGCAGCGGGTAGATACAGCGACGATTGTGACGGTGGCAGCCAACGAGGAGGTCAAACGGGTTGCGATCAAGGTCATCCTGGGCGGGGGGACGCCGATGTCTCTGCCGATTCTACCCTTGCTCTCGTCCGAAAGTATGCCGTCTGCACGGAGGTTGTTGTGCTCGGTCCCGCGGGATCGCCGAGATCAACAAAGGCACTAGCCAAAATTGCGGCACCAAAAGACCCATCATCATTAGCAGGGACGGCTTCATCAGGATCATTCGCAACAAGCGCGAAATCATCAGTCGCTCAAGGCAGAGTACCAAGATCTACCTCCTCCAGCAAGAAGACTGCATCACCATCACCGACTCATTCAAGCCCGAGCGGCGGTGGTGGCGGTGGCGGCGGTGGCGGCGGTGGCGGCGGTGGCGGCGGTGGTGCCTCTTCGTACGCCCGGGATGGGTTTCGACCACCCCGCACTACCAGCAGCCGAGGCGACACAGCCGAATGGGTCGGGTATACAATCCCGTGCGAAACGGTTAGGGCCGTTTATGGGGTTAGGGTTCTGATGCGGAGCTACCTCGTGGTGGAGGCGAAAGACGTGTCGTTGTTGCCCGGGTCTATTAACGGCAAGAACAGCAGAACGAGCAGCAGCAGCAGCAGCAGCAGCAGCAGCAGCAGCAGCAGCAGCAGCAGCAGCAGCAGCAGCAGCAGCAGCAGCAGCAGCAGCAGCAGCAGCAGCAGCAGCAGCAGCAGCAGCAGCAGCAGCAGCAGCAGCAGCAGCAGCAGCAGCAGCAGCAGCAGCAGCAGCAGCAGCAGCAGCAGCAGCAGCAGCAGCAGCAGCAGCAGCAGCAGCAGCAGCAGCAGCAGCAGCAGCAGCAGCAGCAGCAGCAGCAGCAGCAGCAGCAGCAGCAGCAGCAGCAGCAGCGGCAAGAGTGCTAGCGGCGGCATCGAAAGGAACAAGAGAGACGAAGCGAAAAACCAACGACACTGCCTCGACTACGTCAATGCCGCTGCTGGGACAAACCTCGGGTTTGAGCACCAGCGTCATGGAGCGACTTCGGGAGCAGACGAGCAAACAGCTTTGACAGGCACGAAAGGCAAGCAGAAGGAGCGAGATTTATCCCCGCGTAGACCATTAGCGCCACGGATTCTCTCTGTGAGCGAAGCTCTTATCATCCAGCTAGCTGCGGCCGGTGCGTCCTCCTCAGCGACCGATAGCTCCGGCGGCGTCGGCGATAGGAGAGGTAGGCGAGGAGGCGGGGGCGGGGGGGGACCAAAACTCGCCTCCGGGCACGAGCGAGAGTCGATGGTGGTGAGGGGTCTCCTACGATATGTAGGCTTTCGCACCGTTGCCGATGGAGGAGGCAACGGACGCCGACGGCAAAAGGTCCTCCCGGCGGCTGTAACTGCTGTCAAGGACCAAGGCCACGGCATCAAAGGTTTGTGGAAGGGGACGTGAAAGGGGTACTGGTAGAGGTAATTTACAACGCACCGCTCCCTCGTGGTTGTATGCATAGTGGTGGCAGTCCGCTGGCCTCTCGCAAGCGTTCAACTGGTACCATGGTATGGTTTTGATCAGGTGGGAAGGAACGATGCCAAGAAGGGTGCCCTACGCCGAGTAACAGGGTGTGATGTTGCTTCTACGAAGCGGCACGGTACCATGAGAAACAGAAGCGCGACTTGCACGAACCTCCCTCCCGGAAGACGCAGGAGAATGCCACCACTGGTGTGAGCTGACGCAGGAATCCATTTCGCCTCACAGCTAGCTCTGTACCACCATGGCGGCCTGCAATGTCGCAGGCGATTTAGGCGCGTCCACTACGTCGGAAGTAGACATGTTCGAGGTGCTATCTGAGGAGCGAGTGCAGCTTTGCCTGACACTGGAGCACGCCGCGGACAAGATCAGCGTCTACCTGGGGGTTTCCCCGGAGGCGTGGCCCGTGGGGATGGTTCCGGGGTTTTGTACAGTACAGGTGTGTTTCTTGAGCGTGTGGGACTTTGTCTTTCTTGGTGCTATGTGGTGATGTTGTGGTGCTGACGGGTTGCTCGGCGTGAGTGGCGGTTGTTTGAGCGGTGCTGTAGCTTGGGAGATGCTACGAATGCTGGCGATAAAGTGATGGGTGTTCCTAGCTTCTCACTCCGAGGCGACGACGACATAGACTGTCTATGCGCAGCCATGGACAGGCGGCTGGACATACACTACGCATCCAAGGTGGCTGTTGCAATGATGGCGCTTTCTTTTGATGTTTTTTCCTGGACTCGATGCCAGAAATGTTTGGATTGGTAGGATGCGGCCGCTGCGTCCGCGTGGTCATTCGCTCCGTTGCCATAGCACAGTGATGATGATGACCCTGCCAGGCGATCCCCGCACCCCACACACGTACCCTGGTCCGATCTTTGGCGGTGTGGCGGTAATCGCAAGCGTGGCGTGTGGCTCGGCTCGACATCGTGGGACTTTTCTTCGCTTCAAGGTTTCCTGACCTGAGCTTCGCAACGTGATATTTTTGGTTTACACCGCCTTCGGGAACACTACAAAAGTGATTGCAGGCGGTAGTTATGACAATGATTTTTTCCGCCGAGACTAATTGAGCTGGTGGGCGCTTGTTCAACATGTCATTCCCACGGCTATCACTGCTGTTCCCCAAATACTGCTCTGACGTGGTGTTCAGGTGGAAGGAGTTTGCAGGAGGCTCTCCGGTAACGGCAAGAGCGTCTACCTGGCGGTGGCTAGAGCCGGCGGCGGCACCGTAAGGGTGAGGGCGAGCGTTTATTGTTGCTGTTGTATCCTACAAAGCAAGTCTGTTGTGTGGATGTCAGTGTACGCGCTCCCGCAGCACCTCGTACGTTGCCGTATTGCGGTCTCGGTGCACGTGTACAGACTATTTTTTAGATCCTGACACGCGATTGGTTAACTCCAAGCAGAAGCAGTTGAAACATCCGCTACGTTCCTCGGAACCGCCGGCACTCCCGGCCCTCGAATTGTTCCGATAGCTTGTCACTGTTTTTCTGTCGATACCTGCCGTCGTTGTTTGACTTCTGCTTCTGCTTCTGTTGTTATCGTTGGAGTTGTTCTGCTGCACCATTTTTCACGTCTATTGTCATTGGTGATGTTTTTTCCCGTCTTTTGGTTATCCCTACTTGCCAGGTTCTGTCTCTAGCACTACCTCCCCCACCGGAGAACCTCCCTGCGCTGGGCTGGTCAGCTCCTCCCCATCCCCCATCAGTGCGGGGGGTCAGTAGCACCACCCGTCTCGGCCATGAACCAGGATACCTCGCGTCCATGCCCGTGCCAGCTTGCCAGGCAACAACAGCGACAGCGGCAGCAGCAGCGGTAGCTGGCGGCGGCCGTGCCAGTACCACCTTTATGAATTCCTCCGACGACTCTGTCCGCTCGGATAGAGTTGGACACACTCCGTCGTCAGCCCCCCTGCTGTTGTTCCCCAGACCCAGAACCAGACCGGTATCCTCATTTGCAAGGGACGACGCCGACCACAGCGGGATCAACACTAGCCAAAGAATACGCGGGAGCAGTGGGGGTTGGGGTTGTAGCGGTCATGAGAGCGTGGATCCAGTGGTGATGGCCAGCGGACGCGGCGTGATTCGGGCAACGAGGGGTGGGCGCGTGGTCTTGCTCGACACGCACCCCGCCGATGCGCCTCCCTCCCCCCCACCCAACGACACTATTAGTTGCGATGGCGGCGACAACGGTGCGAGTGTTGCGGACGCCGCTGCCGGGTCGTGGGCTTGCCCCGAGGGAAACGGCGGTGCCGCTTGGAAAAGAGCAAGAGTCGGGGATGGGTCGGTCCCACCGTTCCCCCTCTCGTCACGCGAAAACACCTCGGCTGGTCGTCGTGCAGCGACTGTGCCTGTTCGAGATCTCGGTATGGACCTTATCCCGAAAGCTTCGTCAAAAGAGGTATCAACGTGGGCAGAGCTGACGCTTGCAGGACAGGTTTCAGAACCGGTTCTGAGAGTGCCACCAAGATCAGTGTCGCAACAACCGGCCGCGATGGAGGCACCGGGGGCTACTTCGAGTTCATCCTCCACGCTCGGGGCGATGTTCAAGCGCGGGATATTGGTTCGTGCAACAACAAATTTCTCTTGCCTCTCTGTCGTCGGCGTCAGGTTTGCCAAAGCCGCTACCTGGTGCAAGAATTGCGGCCCGGTGAGTTTTGCAACACCCAGCCCTCTTGCGCCTGCTGCCTGCTACAATACCACAAACGTAGAACTTTGACCCTGCGTGACTGCTGTAGGTAGGCCTTCTTGGTCGGCGGAGAGACAAGGGCACCGTGCTTGCGACGATACTGTTGTACCATCAGCACAGATAGACACCCTGCAACAGAAAGGCTTTGTCCACCGCCGTACAAAATATTCATGTACTTGCGTGGAATACCCCATCAGCCAAAAACGTTATATATGCATGACGTTCGGCAACTCTACAATCTACCCTGTAAATACTCTGTGTAACTTCTGTGGATGTGCCGTCAACTAAAGGTCCGCGAGAAGGACCTCTCCATGGGTCGGTGTTGGGGGAGGTGCGATGTGTCTTCGAACTGGGAAGTGCGCTGGGAGGGCTCGGCCAACATCGATGACGGCACCGCACAGGTACAGGGATGGGCGCAACAGCATCAAGCCCGCTACATGTATCCTATCTATAGAGAATTGGTTGTCCCGCCGTTGATCAATTAACAAGGATAGCGGAAAAAAGGTTGGTGATGGCACGACCAAGTGGAATGTATCATGTGGACAGTCCCGGCGCTTGGGTGCCGTTTATTGGGAGCGTTACCCCTCGGGTAGAGGAATCTGGCCGCCAGTGTCCTCGAGTGTGATTATCGGCCACTCCAACGCGTGTAGTGTCTACCTGAAACAAGGGACGCTGCCCTGGCGCTTTGACCGTAAGCTTCGTCGAAGCCCATCGAGGAAACACGGATGACGGCATGATACTGATGCAATGAGTTATTTCCGCGCCTGATGTGGCACAGCATACAGACAGTTGTCCGGGCCTAGGGCCAGCATTCCTTGGGAGCAGCACGACTGCAGTTGTATTTGTTCAATACCACTAGACAGCGCTCCTTGTGTGTATCCCGAATGAACATTTTTTTCTTGTTTTTTGTCATTGCGTGGGTTCCCGATCCAGGGTTTGGTGCTTCTCGATGGCGAGGACGTGGTGAAGCTACTCAAGCTATCCACAATCGCCAGGGACGACATCGAGGAGGCCGCTCGGCGGCACGGACCGGTGGTAAGAGGAAAGTTGTGTTTTTATCACAGCAGCTAGCTCCTTGGTTATTCCTTCAGCTTGTAGTCCCAAACAAAATGGAAGACAGTTGTCGATGTTCTACACGGCTGTTGGCACGTGTTTCATCTGCATCTGTTTCGCATGACAACATCGCGCAGGTTGGTATGTAACTTGACTTCCCGCAGGACACCTGGCTAATCGTTGCACAAGCCCAGAGCGGCGTCAAGCGAGTACCCATCCTTCATCCTCTCCCACCCAGCGCCCTTCTCACCAAGCAACATGTTATGCGTGCCCTCACGCAGACCTGATGCACCAGATACGCCGCAGGCCCGATCAGCACGAGTGGCTACTGACTCTGGCCTTACCGCGCCCTCACTCGCCACAGTGGTGTGCACTGGGCGCTGTGTCGAAAGGGGAACACCTAAATTATTGGAATCTCCGTTCTCGTTGACCCCCTCGCCAAGCTTTGCTTCTGGTGCAAGGTTTGCATTTCCCGGAAGAACACTCTGTCCTGGCTTCCTGAACTTCGCGGGGCGGACATATTGCTGCATAAGGGAGAATAAGCACACCACCACCCTCTCTTCCCGCTTCCCCCCGGTCTTCTTGCCCAGAGCTTCTCAGGCCAGTCTGGTGGCCACAGCAACAGCGCTTTGGCTTCTGCCGTAGGCGCGGCACCGCCAACCGCCCTCGCGCAAGCACGGGCGGCTCTGGCGGCGGCGGCGGGGAGGGCAAGCTGTTCCTCGAGAGCGGGACACGTGTCCGCGAGCTGCGTGCAGGCGTTTCCCCGCGGGGGCGGCAGCAGAGGAGGAGGGTATGGGTCGGCGGTGGTGGATGTGATGGGTGAGGGGATGGAGACCCTTACCTTGCCGAAGCTGGTGCTGCATGGCTCTGGGCTGGAGGTAGTCGACGCCAGGGGCGAGGCGTACGCGGTGTTGGCCAGGCTAGGAGAGCTTTGATTGGCATGTCGAAAGAGAGCTTCTATCGTTTCGCTTGTTCCCTGCAAAGCCAAATAGCTGCTTTTGGTTTGTGTTCAAATCGGAGATGGCCGAGATGGTAGACTGGATTTCGAAGGTGTGTTTATGCGATGTGCAGGCCTTGTAACCTCTCAGGGAGTGATCGGTTGTCACTGTCGATTGAGGATTGAGTGGGTGTCAGCGTTGGGTTCGCTCACATGCTGTGCGTGCCCTGTTCTTTGGATAGGCAGACCACGGAGGTCTGCGATTCACCTGTGCTCGTATTTGGTTATTTCTGACGCGGCTTCACTCCGTTGGTCGTTGTAGTCTAGCCTAATGTGAGTAGAAGCGCTACGTCGTAACCTCGAAAAGGCAAGTCTCCTCATCATGTGTGCGCGGTTCGGTGTTTTCCTTCCGACTGGAATTGCCGAAACCTTCGCGAGAAGACTGAGACAAAGATAATCTTGTAGCTGGTGTCACTCGATCTTCACACACTTCACGAAATGTCTTGAGACTTATTACTGTAGTTGTCCTTAAAAAGGCATGTAGACTACAGCCATATACCGTCATCGCACCCCGCGGTCGTTGTTTTTTGCAGCATTCGCTGTTGCATGTTTATCGCAACAGCGATGACTCCGGAATGCTGTGCGATAACTCCGGAGTGGGTGTAATGAGTCGTTAGCACGTACCGGTAGAGTTCGAAAGTGTGTAATCAGTAAGTACGTATATAGCTCCCGATCATGGCACTGCTTCTGGTGCGAGAAAGGGAATTGCTGCTCCTGAGAGGTATTCTAGCCCTCTCGTGCAGCGATGCACACACACTGACCTCTCTTTGTGCAATAGAACGACTGTACCGAGTGCGATGAGTAGTGAAGGTACTCGTACCCGCTGTAGTGGCAGGTGTAGTGTCGGAGCAAAGGCCTCCTTATGGATGTTATGGTCTTGTTCTTTTAAGGTAAGCTCCGGATGGTAGCTTGGTTGTGAGCAGAGGAGGGAGAGTCCAGACAGCTCTTGCAGAGGCTCCGCTGAATGCGGCCAACTACCTCTGTGGGAGTGCATTTGCGGAACAATGAAAAGCTCTCTACCGCGCCGTCGGACAGCTCTAGGATGGTGGCGTGCCCGAATCCAGCCATGCACGATCCGAGGCGCGACGTCTTGTGGCCCCGCCTCCTAGATAGAGATAGTAGTCTAGCCATCACGATCCCGGCATGGAGTCTCGCTGATGGAGAGCGGGAAACCTTGCAGGATAGGAATGTAGCAGCTCGTGAGAGATTGCGCGAGCTTGATCGAGCAGGTGAAACGCGACGTTCCGTCCGCGACACACGGCCCCACCTCACCGGCGCGAACGGAGGCGGTAGCGCCGGATCGTGTTCGTACTGTGGAGGCCACTTTGGGCCACCACCACAGGCCGAGGGACTCGAGCCTATCCAGATCCCGTGTGGACACCACGGGTCGGTGCACGCCAACTGCCTGTGGGACAGAGCCGACCAGATAGCACACGGACGCGAGGATCCACGACCATGTGCCAACTGCTCGCAGGAAGGATCGAACGGACGACGACCTCCTCATCCCGCGGAACTTGTCCAGAACCACGAACTGCCGCACGCCGGGGGACGGTGGGACTTCCTGAGGGAGGCAGTGTCTTTCGCATCCGAGATAGAGGGACATTTCGAGACATGGTCTATGTCCGAATCCGGCGCGGACCCGGCGGGGCATTTCGACTCCTTCGAGAGTGTGGTGCGGGCCCACGGGAGAAGTGAGACGGCTTCCTGGCTCCTGGTCACGCTGTTCTGCGACGTATTCGGGATGGAGAGAAGCGTGTACATATACTGCCCTCGTGGCCGCAACGAGGACAACGGGTGGGACCGGTTGGTCGGGAGANTCCGGCGCGGACCCGGCGGGGCATTTCGACTCCTTCGAGAGTGTGGTGCGGGCCCACGGGAGAAGTGAGACGGCTTCCTGGCTCCTGGTCACTCTGTTCTGCGACGTATTCGGGATGGACAGAAGCGTTTACATATACTTCCCTCGGGGCCGCAACGAGGACAACGGGTGGGACCGGTTGGTCCAGAGATACCGCTCTACATTTTACGCCCATGGAATACGGCCGTATCAGGTGCTATTGCGGCTCCCCCGGGGCAGAATCTACATTGCGCCACACGTACAGGAATACCTGGTGCGCCTGGACCAGGAGTGCGAATCGCATTTCACATTCTACACCATAGCAGTACAGAACGCCCCACGCAACCCCGGCCAACCTCTGCCGCCATTCCTGCGGGTAGGGGGGGTGCCTCGGCGCCACGACGACTGGGATGAACACCATGTCTTACCCCACCAAGGAGGCGAAACCAGCAGAAACACAGTGACCCCGACTGTCGCGGCCCCACGAAGGGTGACGGGAATTGGCATCGACCCGGGCTTTGACATGGGAAGCGGCCCAGAGGAGGAAGAAGGATTGTTGTCCCCGAGGAACCCATCCACAACAGCACACGCCACCAGTCGGACGAGCCCTCAAGTAGACCCGGGGAAAGAAGCCAATCACTAGGAACGCCATGGCGGCGCAAACCATCTGCTCGCGAGGGTAGCGNAACCCATCCACAACAGCACACGCCACCAGTCGGACGAGCCCTCAAGTAAGACCCGGGGAAAGAAGCCAATCACTAGGAACGCCAAGGCGGCGCAGACCATCTGCTCGCGAGGGTAGCGGATTATCGGATGACGCTACTACATCGGGTGAACGTCAACGAACTTCCTCGGAACCACCTCAAGGCGGAAACAGGCGACGCCGGCAGGGAAGTGAACCGGATCCAGACGGTGAGTCGCGAGAAAGAAGAACGCCATCACATCCGGCACGCGGAGAAACACACCGGGGAAGGGCTCGGGGGGAACGGGTACTCCGGGTGCCGATGACCTAGCGACCAGGAACGGGGACGCTGGAGGAAGCATGGAACCTGGCGCCACGGGGAACAGAAGCGAGCACCCTCGTTCCAGTACCAGATGCGGAGTGTGCTCGGGTGAGGTCATCGAGGGACACCGTGTGNCACGAACACCCTCCCCGGTTCGTCAAGCTATTGACAAACCATCAGTGGGGCATGGATACTCCAGATCTACTTAAGTTACTCATACAACAACGGGTGCAAGGGAAAAACTCGGCCATCCGGATAAAAAAAACCTCGCCGACAAACTCAAAACATAAAAGAAATCGTCGCTATCACGAAGGATTCCAACGGCCGCACTGTCAGGGCAGGACCAAGGCAGGACAGATTGGACAGGCCACGCTGATTACACACCCGAAGCAATTGGTCAAAAACCCTAAGCTCCCGCCGCGGGTGACGCCCCTGCCCAACGCTTCCTGCGTGACATACCATGGTCCGAGACGCGCCCAGTGCTAGAACAAAACAAAGCAAACGCCACGAAAACGAGACCAGAACCCTACATCGGCAGGTTCATCAGAGCCTTCCGGTGGTACTCCAACTTGCCCCTACCAAGGACCTTTGTCAGCATATCGGCGTGCTGCTCTTCTGTCGAGACATAATCTGCGGTGATCTTGCCCGCCTTGAAGAGCTCGCGGATGAAGTGGAACCGCACGTCGATATGCTTGCTCCTCGCCGAGCTGAAAGGGTTCTGCACCAACGCGAGAGACCCCTCGTTGTCCTCACGGACCCTGATCGTGGCACCGCTCGTCTCGGGTGCAATGAACGACAGAACACCACGCACGAACAACGCTTCCTTCACGCCCTCCCCGGCTGCAATATACTGTGCCTCCGTGGTCGACTGAGCCGTCACTTGCTGTGTCTGTTCGTGAGGTGGATTATGCCATGCTTACGAAGGCTACTGTGGCGATACTCATGCGTGGTTTTGAGCTACATGCAAGTGCGCAAGTAGTGGCTGTTCACCGATCTTGGATCTTCGGGGTATCTCCGATCATATCTTTGACAAGTTGTCACGTGTTCCGCTGTCGCGTGTTCCGAGTTCCGAATGCGTCTTTTCTGCGGGGAATTTCTTGCGGCTGTTGCACGAGTGCCTCGGTGTTTGNGGTCTAGCCCTGATCCGCGGACGTAGGTGATCCCGAGGTCCTTCGTCTCGTTGAGGTAGGACATGATCCGCTCCACATCCTCTCGGTGGTTGAGTGGGCGATCTTCTGCAGCTTGTTCAAAGGCAGCGCGATGTCCGGC